GGGGCTGGTACAATAGGCCAGAAGTGGCCGCAGTACAAGGGACTTAGTCCCACCCCACTAGCCTTTGTGGAGGCGCGTTCGAACACCTCCACCGTCGCCCTACGAGTCATAGGAGTACACCTAGGCCATCTTGTTCCTCGGGGATATGAATGCGGGAACGTGGCCCTCAGGATTGTGGAAGGATGCTGATAGTCAAGGCTGTAAATAATGGTTTTACCAAAATGACCAAGGCTCATTAATATGAGGAGTTTCGGTTATGATGGCTTTGCCGATAACATTTTGGCAAATAACACAGCAAATGGTTCATTATACAAAACCATCTCTCCAGAAACACATTATTAGGATATTGTGGTTGGTCCCAATCTGTGCTCTAAATGCTTGGCTGGGACTGGCTTTTCCTGAGTTGTCTATTTTTGTGGAGAGCCTGCCAGAATGTTACCAAGCGTGTAATTTACAACTTTATGGTGTACCTACTCAATTACCTGAATTCAGAATTAATACTTGAGGCAAATCTGGAGACAAAACCTCAAGTGAAACATCTTTTCCATTTCTGGTCATTAGCCCTTTGCCAGTCAGAAGCGAGCATGGGCTACCGATGCGCTGTGTCATTCAACGAAACGGTTATAATTACTTATCGAGTTAGCGGCCTCCGTAATCTAGGGGTAACGTTCCCACCTCATGACTCAATGTACGCGGGTTCAAACCCGGCGGATGTCGTGGAATTTTTAAGGGCTGAAAAATTTAGGGAACAAGTCCTCCGGGAGGGACTTTAAGCCGTGGGTCGTAGATTTACGGCACGTAAAAGATCCTCATGTCTCTAGGAGACCTCTGAGCTAAATTAGGCAAAAAGTTTCCCGCCCAAGTAGTTTCCAATGCCTCTGGTAGATGGAGGAAGTATCAGGTACCGAGGGCCGACCTCGTTGGCTGAACGGGGCTGATAGTACGCACCAGTACCGGTAGGGTATGGCGACTGGTAGAATATCAAAGGGGGACGTACAATAGACTATTAGTCGCGGCGCATGGGGAAACCCACCCCTCTAATAATAATAATACCCGGTCATAAATTTAAACCCCGTCTGTAGTTACTACACCACGTGACAATATTGCAGAGGTCTCTACTTCAGTAACAGTCCCATTATCAGTTCCTACTTCTGTCAGATTCACATTCATTTCATCTTCTTCCATGTTTTATTCCCGGTACAGACGTTTTAAGAATTTAATGAGACGTTTGACTTCGAGCTGTCCTTCCTAAAGGGAAATGATGTCATAGCTCATTAGAAGAGACGAGGCAGTTTCCGTCCTTATCTTTTCTGCTCTAATTCCACCGAACGGCGTGCTTTTACTGAACGCGAAGTTTTCTCGCAGCGCAAAATGTAATCCAGGAAATAAACCCACAAAATTACACGGCAAAAATCCGTTATAACCTGAGACTTTGTAGTGCAAAATTTCGTAACGTGGTACTTTCTATATACAGAAGGTATAATTTATCTTTCGTGGGCTGTAAAAAGCTGCATATTCGCGAGTGGTAATTACAGCCCAACATTCAAAATGATCCATCATTATGACCCTAAAAGTTTACTCACTTGAAATTAATTGTCGTTATATAAATAGAGGATCTGCCCAGCAAGTATTCTCAGGCGGTAAAGCTTGCTTTGTTCCCGAGAGATGCCTTTTCGAATCTCTACTTGGACATCGATTATCCTAAGATATTACGTGGTTTCATTCAGTCGTTCCAGACGAATGTCGGGATAAAAGTTCAGATTAATCCATGACTACGTCCTCTCACGTCCAATCCAGTTAATTTCTCACTATCCTACAGTCGCTACTCGAAGCTATGATGCGTCTAACATATCTCTGAGAGGGTCATCTTTAGTTAGTGACGTAGACCGTTACGTCATCACCAGAAAGTTACTAGATTATTCCGCGCTGAATCATATACTCCGTCCAATATGGGAACGAAGGTGCGTCATCGTCACTCAGTGACGTAGACCGTTACGTCATCACCAGAAAGTTACTAGATTATTCCGCGCTGAATCATATACTCCGTCCAATATGGGAACGAAGGTGCGTCATCGTCACTCAGTGACGTAGACCGTTACGTCATCACCAGAAAGTTACTAGATTATTCCGCGCTGAATCATATACTCCGTCCAATATGGGAACGAAGGTGCGTCATCGTCAGTTAGTGACGTCATCATTAGAAATTTATTATATTTCATTTACAGCGTATGATACATACAGAAATCACCACATGGGGATCTCATTGAATATATAGGACTTTTCTTCCGTAGGGTTGTCTATTCAATGTTCGAAGTACCCTCAGATGTAATTTAGACAAAGAGAACTTGCAGCGTCGTTAAATAAACAATAAATAAGTATATAACGTGTTTTTAAAATTTACTTTTGCGCTGGCTTACATTTTTTCTACTGGCGTACAAAAATTGGCAGTGACGTACATAATACCGTCTAGTATTTCCGAACATGTACCAGCTTACCTCGCAGGTAAGCAGGTATTACTGTCTGCACGCCACTGTACCTTCTATCTCATCGTTGTCATTGTGTCCTGTTCTCGCTCACGGACGCAATAATGTTCGGCTTGTCTTTACTGGTCTTTTAAATGACGCATCCCCTTTTGTTTTCTTGTCTGCGTCTTGTCTCTTCACCTTTCCCTTTGAACAAATCTCCCATCATCTCAATCCCTACTCTGCTTGCTCCTATCTTAGACTTTAATTACGTTTTCTTAACAAGACTCAAGAAGTTATAATTGGAACATAAAGCGAATTCTTCCCTATAAGATACACCCACATACGTCATATCAATACCCACACCCACACACACGTCGTGTCGACGCCAGAAAATAACCGACGTTTTACTTACGAGGGAGAGTCAGTAAATAGATCACAAATCGACATAAATCATGAAATATATGCTATTCGAAACTGCAAAAAAAAAATTCATTGACATATATTCTATCAATATTTTCTTTTTGATTCGCTTAGTGAGGGTGGAGTCCAACTGGGTCCACTCGGCACGGCGGCCACAGATAGGCCAATTAGTGGCCGCTGTGGCGAGTGGACCTGCCCCCGGTGATAATAATGATGGAGAATTTGGTGGAATGAAGATTGGCAGGGGAAACCGAAGTACTCGGAGAAAACCCTCCCCAGCGCCACTTTGTCCAAAACAATTCCCAGTAGACCACACCCGGGATCGAATCCGTGCCGCCGCGGTGGAAAGCCAGTGACTAACCGCTTCAGCTATGGCGCGGCCTTATATTACTAACATATGAAGACGATAATGTCGTCGGACGATTAACGCCATCTCTGAGACACAGTGAGTAACTACGTTCTCTGTGAACCCAACACACACACATACACCCAATCATAAAAAAAAGAAAGGCAAAGAGGTCGTGGAGGCCAATAGAGCTGTGAGACGTCGAGGTTCCCACATTTTCTATATAATCGGTTCACAAATGGCAGTGAGGTTGTCAGCCTTACTCGTCGGCCGCCCTTTACCCCAGGAAGATTTCTGTCAGGTGCTCACTTGACTAGAAGGTCATAGTACGGTTTGAAGGATTAGGTTAACTGAAAATTCCAAACACCTCATCGGGAATCGAACCGGTAACCTTCAGTCTTGTAGCATAGTGCATCAGCCAACTATGCTACCGCGTCCCCCCTACTTAATCACACACCATTTTTATATTTTATAAATAAAATCCTATCGTTTCTCTGTACTCAATAAAATCGTAATGATGCTACTTGAGCTTACATGGTTGCACAGTGCGCCGTCAGAGCAATGCATGCAGGAAGTTGGTGGATTTGCCAAAAGAACGCTCTCCGTCATCAGCTGTCGTCATTATGCTCAGGTACGAGGAATCGCATTACGAAATTTCGCTCCTACGAACGTTTACACTGAAGCGCACGCCGCAGGTTCAACCTCTATACAAACGCCAAGTCACGCATCTTAAATTCTTTCCGGAAAGTTGGGAGGGGGGGGGGAATAAACCCGGAAACGGAAATAAACTCACGCAACGTCTGCCAGTCAGTTCACTTTAAGCTCCGCTCCACTGTGCAATAAGATACTGCCGCTTCCTTGAACATTTTTGTGGTTTATGTACCATTAGCCACGGCTGAGAAGAACAGATCTACATGCACTGATAGTGCCACCAGAGAATACTAGGAAATCTGTGACATTTTATGTGAAGACGTAAATAATAAAACTCAGTGATGCAGAATACGAAATTTGGTATCTACCAGAACTTTATCTGCATCAGTTGTGGCTACGGCTCTGCGGGATAAGCCCAGAATTCCTGGGGTAATAAAGAAAGCTTCTCTCGTGTTGTCTACAGTGACACGAAAACATGACGTGCTTTACTTCTTATTGTGTGAGTGTACGAGCATGTCCTTAAGCCCAAGGAAGAAGTTTGGGATGTTTTTGTCGTTCGGGAAATTGCTGTCACGTGATGGAGTGATTATACACTGGATTTCGATCTGTAATTGGATTTATTGAAGGCTTATAAATCATAACTGCAAGAATTATAGCGCTATCGCTAACGCCGACCGTCGGTAAAATTGCTGGTCTTCGTCAGCACAGCCATTCCTGGCTTTGATCTCCATGAGATCCATGACTAAGATATTTTTCCCCCCCTAGGCATCAAGTCAAAATCTGTTATGTTACGATCGACTGTCACTCTTGGTGTCATCTGGGGCCGAAGAACAGATATTTGTTACTCTAAGGGCATTCTCGGTTCTGAGTGGCACGGCACACATGACCACATTTTACTGTCTCAGATTCGAGGTTTCCTCGATTTTGAAGGCCAGATCCCTGCATTTACACCCCCGAGGAACAGGGTGGCCCAGGTGTACTATTAGGCCTTTAGTTCTCCGCCATATTACAACTCAAAGCAACAAAATACAACATGTGACATGATGGCACACGATATAACTACCGTGTTTGAAGGTACTGACAGCAGGAATTCTAACTGATGCTAATATTTCTTGCAGGCTACATCTCGATGGAAGAGTTCTCAGATGCGTGCGCACTTCTTGGAGAACATCTGCCGCAAATCCCACCAGAGCAACTGGTGGACATATGCCGCAGCATGGACATAAACAAGGACGGACTCGTCGACCTTAACGAGTTCCTCGAGACCTTCCGGCTTGTGGACATGGGACATGAGGACAGGCCCGATGGAGACGACTCGTCTCCTGATGAGGATACGAACAGACTGGAGTAGATGCCATTCTCGACCGTAATGTATCACAAGCGATCCTGTGGACTGTGGCACCGCGTTCTTTGGTACATAGGTACAAATTGGAGTGATCTGCTACTTCCATCTTCAAGGTGGAACAATGAAGACTTAGGCACTGAATTCCTCCGAAAACCTTCGTATTTCATTCATCAGTAATCTGTCAGACGACAGGTCCACAGTCTCTTCCAAAACAGTTCCTCCACTTAATGCGATCTAGAGCTTTCTCCTTCAAATGAGAATATCCTCTTCTGTCTCCAAGGTCATCCAGCATCTTCTTACATCTTCTTCCTCGTCTTCTGAATCTCGCATACATGGTATCTCTGTTTCTGGAACGAGACTATCCAGGAAAAGTGATACTGTGGTAGTTTTTCCATTTGCTTTCCACATCGCAGTACAGCAGCCGTTCAAACCACTCTGGTCACGCCTGTTGCTATACGAACTTGAACCATCTCGAGCATCATTTGCTCTGTGCTTCAGGTCGCTGCTGATGACGCTGCTTCCGGCATCAGTATTTATCTACCAATATATGCGGGGTCACATCTTAGATGGACTGTAGTCTTCAAATTCACCACTGTGAAAACCTAAAATAAAATTTTTCAAATTGTCTCTGAAACAGTTTGGTTAAATAACTATACTGAGGCCACAGAAAGAAGTCTCGTAAATGGTGGGGATGGCGACGCTCAAGAATTCCCCCTCTCTTTCTTCTGTTGCCCCCAACACTTATATGAGCCAACACAACGGGCTGTTCGCTGGCAAAATGTTGTCCTATCAACGTTCACACGAACAGAGTGGCTTGGCAACTGGAGGGGAATACTTGGATCTGGGCTGGAGGGGGGACCGTAACAGCTTGAGGGAGATGTGAACGGGTCGATCCGCGGGATATCTTTCCGCGTCCTTATTATAAGTGAGGTTCTGTCAAAGTGCCGGTGAGATGATTCTATTCTGTTATTACCTTCAATTCATTTGAAATAATATCTGAGTTTTATAGCGAAATGACGTGGCAGATGGTATTGATTAAAATTAATGAAAAGAACAAAGGAAGAGAGATATTAAGCAAATCTGAAAGACAGTGGAGACGAACAGGTGACATTTCATAGAAATATTTACTCATGGTAGCTCTTTTAGTATACTTCGATAGGTTTCTTTTTTTCAGTTCTGGAACCTACTCAGCTTCCATGGCCAACGCAACGTAACGTCTGACTGGTGGTTCATGGCTTTTCGAAAAAAAAAAACATTGTGGGGCCACCTGATGTGTAAATTGCAATTTGCCAAATTCTGTTTTGTGCAGACAGGAAATATTTTCTAACAATTCATCTAAGCGCGTCAATTTTTATCATATTGTCACGTGTTAGGAGTTTGCGTGATTTATAAGACGGGTTTCGGATTGAATGATTGGATTTATTGACACATTTCTACAACTTGTTACAACATTTCACAAATCACTATCTTCGACTGGACACTCTCGACTTCTGACCGCACTGCACCTCCATCTGGACAATAAGTTAAAAACCAAAGTCAAAGTCACATTGCGACTGACAGTCAGTCAGTCAGTCAGTAAGCCTTTATGTCGAGCCCCACCTGGTGCTCATGACCATATATTTATTACTGTTTGATAGTTACGATCTTGTTTTTTTTTTTTGTGGGGCGCCCTCTCTGACAAGAGGTCGGATCTGTCTTTTGTATATACTGCTGGCCCTTGCCAGTGCAGTCTTTCTCGAGTACGAGTCAATTTGGACTCGTGACCATATTTTACTGTCTCAGATTTGAGACTTCCCTTTCGTCGCCTCCTCCACACGGGTTTGAACTATCAGTTTTTGTTGGCTTCTCGTTATATAGCCTCGGATCGGACCACACAGAAAATACATCAATTGCCTATCAACGGATGTCCTCTACTGTTTCGTATTCGTTGCCTACGGATGTTTTTACTGAGTCGTTGCCTAGCAATGGGTATATGATTCACAGTATTATTCACATTAGAAAGTAATGTACTTCCGTGTTTGTCATTCGATACTGACTGTACGTGTTTTCTTCGTTGGGCTCTTCAGGATCTCCGGTTCCCTCTCCAATCTTCCAGATCGCCCCAGCGTTTACAAGATACTCGCCGTAAAGTGCATAACTGTTGTTTATATATTTCCACACTTTTGCCCCTAAGTATCACACGTCCCGCTTCACTGTTCGCACACATAAATCAGTGAGTTGTCAGAGCTGTCAGTGGCTTTGGGTTTTCAAGAATGCGGACTCGATGCAAGCAAACATCCAGACGAGGTTTAACTGTGAAATTTAGCGTCGTAATTTGTCATCTGTTGTCGTAAATTGGACTGAAAGGGGGTGGGTCTAATTCCTCAAATCTGATACCTATACACGCTATTATTTTGTTTTATTTTTTTATTGCTAGTGGGGTGGGACTAAGTCCCTTGTACTGCGGCCACTTCTGGCTACTGTACCAGCCCCAGATGTTGATAGGTGAGGGTGATTGTGTAGCAATTGGTGGAATGAAGATTGGCAGGGGAAACTAAAGTACTCGGAGAAAACCCGCCCCAGCGCCATTTTGTCCACCACAAAGCCCACTTGACCAGACCCGGGATTGAACCCGGGCCGCCGTTGAGCTATGGCGCGGCCTTACACACTAACTAACTGGACTGACTCCATGTGAGCCCTTATTGAGAAGCCGCCATTTGTGCAACTACTCAAGAACTTCCCAGCACTTTATGGAACCCGAAGGTTCATTACCGTGATCACAAAGAGCCCCCCACTTATCCCTATCCTGAGCCAGATTGATCCAGTCCATACCACCATATCCTATCCCTCTAAGATTCATTTTAATACTCTCCACTCTACTTCTTGGTCTTCCTAGTGGTCTCTTTCTTTCCGGCTTTCCCGCCAATATCCTATATGCATTCCTCGTCTCCTCCATTTGTGTTATGTGCCCTACCCATCTCATTTTTTATTTGATCATTCTAATTATACTTGGCGAAGAAGACATGTTTTTAAACTCCTCATTATGCAGTTTTCTCCAATACCCACACACACTGCTCGAATTTTTTTCCGACTTGCAGAACTTACGAATGGCAACCCAGCTGATGTACTGCCTCATTGTACTCCCATTTTTTCTCCAGTATCTGACGAATGCAAAAGATCTGATCTGTAGTTGACCTGTTACGTCGAAACCCACAGCGATGATCCCCAATACTATCATCTATATGTGGATTTAACCTTGAGAGAAGAATATTGAATAAAATTTTGTGTGAAGTTGACAACAAGTGATAACCCCCTATAATTACTACAGTCAGTTTTATCACCCTTCTTGTGAAATGGTACAATAATAAGACTCCTTCCACTGTTCGGGCAATTTTTCCTTATTCCAAATATAATTAAATAAATTATGGACCTTATAACGAAATATTTCGCCTCCTGCTCAAAATACAAAGCTATTTAATACAAAAGTAGGCCTTGTGTATAGTAAATGTTACGTGGTTTTAGTCCGCAAGCGAACTATACCGATCGAGCAACCGCCGCTTGTCGGAGAAGTTAGTTACTGCCTCTGTGGTCTAGTGGCCAGAGTTCCTGTCTACAGATCCCGTGGTTCGGGTTCGATTCCCGGCGCTACCAGAGTTTCTGAGACGTAGTAGGTCTTGACTGAGGAGCCATTTCAAGTATATAGCGGCTCCGGTCTATAAAACCGAGATTAATGGCCGTGGGGATCCGTTGCGCTGACCACGCGACACCCTCTATCCGCAAAAGTTGACATGTGTAGTAAATATTTGGCTTGAAGGACTGAGAATTACAGGCGCGGTGTCCTGTCGTGACATAAACAGAGATCTCTGTCTCGAAACTATGCCATAGGATGTCCGGACTAGCGATAAAATGAACACCGGTCATAATGCATCCCTAATATATATACGAACGTAGACCATAAATGTGAGCTTACTTGCCCCTTATGGCATATATTTCTTCCGAACAGCCGTTCAGCTGAAGCCCCTGGTGCTGTAAAATATTTCAGTTCAGTTCTTACGCTGTTTTATAAGCCTCTTTTTTTTCCCCTTGGCACTACAGCCCCAGTGGGCCTAGGCCTACCTCCATGAACTTCTCCGTTCACTTCGGTTTTTCTACATCTTA